CCGCGTCGCATTGCGAGCCTGCCCCACCATTCATGCCTCCATTCCAGAAAACTGGTTCAGCCGAAACCGACAAATCTGAACCACAGCCAGCCACAGCCAGCCACAGCCAGCCAGCCACCTGCCCCGCTCCCGCCCCGGCCACACGCTGCTCTCATCTTCCGAACCCCCATCGAAAAGAAAATCGGACCGAAATCGACACGCAAAATCAGGGCTTCAAAAATGCCGCCTAATGCATTGCTGGAAGCCACCGTGACATTTTGGCCCCTTCTGAAAGGACAGCACATTCTGTTCCGCCGTCGTTGATGTGCGACTCGCGACGCTCAGAAGATCTCGGCAGCATAGGGACAGTCTTCAAAGCGGTGTCCTACTTCTCCGCAATCGTCGCACGGCTCGGTCTCTCCCTGGGCGGGAACCGCCGTGCTGGATGCAGGCGCATCCCGGCTGGAAGAGCCTGTTGCCACTGGAGCCTTGGCATCTTCGGCACGCACCGGCTTTGCAGCCTTGGTGGTTTCCGGCTCGAGCTTCGAAAAGCGCCTCGCCGGGCTGCGTTCTTCGAGCTTGCGCGAGAGGCGCTCTACTTCGGCCACCAGCTCTTCCTCGCGGAAGATGCGCGCCTCGACGAGCGACTCGAGCTGCGACACCTCCTTCTGCAGCGAGTCGGCCGTCTCCTTGCGCTCCATCTTGGTCGCCTCGAGCGTCGACCGCAAATCCGCCAGCGTCGTCTCGCTCGACTGCAGCCGCGCCTCGCTCGTCGCCAGCTTCTCCGCCAGCATCGACGTGTCCGCAACGCCGTCCTGGCCGTCTTGGCGCGCTTCCAGCTGCTGCCGCAGCGACTCGACGGTGAGTTCGAGTGTACGCGACTTGGTCTCGGCTTCCTGCACGCGCGCCTTGAGCTCCGACTCGAGCACACGATGTTTGGTCTTCATGTCGTTGTTCTCGTCGCTCAGCTGACGAACGAGGTAGCTCAGTCCCGACATCTGGTTCGCGGACGACGCTGCCGACGCCTCGCTCGCCGCATAGGCTCCGTTCGAGGACATGCGATTCGAAGATTTGAGGTAGCTGCTCGTGCTCCCAATCGAAGCCGTTGACAGCCGGTTTGCATCGGGCGAGCGAGGGCTGCGTTCCGCCTCGCCTCCCGTCGGGCCTGCCTTCTCCAGCTGCGTACGCAGCCGGCGAATCTCGTCGTCGCGCGCACCAAGTTCCGCCGCCTTGTCCTCCTTCTGTCGTGCAAGCTCAGCTTCGAGCTTCGCCTTTTCGCTCCGCCACTCTGCTGCAGCCGCACCGGAGGCCGCGAGGCTCTCGGGGCCGCTCTTGAGCGCGTTGAAGTTTTCGGCATCCAGCCTGAGTCCCTCGAGCTCGGCACGCTCGCGCTCCAGAGCATGCTGGCTCTCTTGCAGGGCGTGTCGCGTTTCCTCGAGCTGCGCGAGCTGTTCCTTGCTGGCACGCTGAGCACGCTCTGCCTCGACGCGCATGCGCTTGAGCTCGTTCTTGAGGCTCGTCTCGACCTCGTGCGACTTTTCGCGCCGCTTCTGCGCGTACTCCTTCTCCTTTTCGAGGTTGAGGGCCGCCTCGGAGATCTGGTCTTCGTACTTGCCGAGCTTGTCCTGTAAGTGAGCGACTTGCTCACGCAACGCCTCGTTGTCGATGGCGGCGGCGCTGCCAGCCTCGAGGCCGCTGCCACTGCGGCTCTGCTGCGAGCTGAGGGCGGCCTGGAGCTCCTCGACACGAGTCTCGGCAGCTCGGATGGCCTCTTGCGCCTTGTCTTGGAGCAGCTGCATGTTTTCCAGCACTTCGATCCGCTCGCTGTCGATCTCTTCGATCCTCTGCTCGTACAGGCTGATGGTCTCGCGACCGGCGTCCTTGAGCTCGTCAATCTGGCGGCTCAATGCGTCTCGCGACGCCTGCGCCTCTTCTTCCAGCCGGCGAAGCGACGACTTGAGGCTGTCGATCTCGGCGTCCTTGAGCTGCAGCTGGGTCTGCAGAGTCTCTTGAGACTCGCCGCGCGCGGATTCGTGCTCGATGCGGTCCTTCATCTCCTTGACCAGCTGCTCGCTCGCCTCGAGCTTGACCTGCAGGCTCTTCTGCCTGCTTTCGACCTCTTGCTGGTAGCGCTGATGGTCGTCGTCCTTCTTGCTCAGCTTGTCTCGAAGCTCCCTTTCGCGCTCTCCGATCTCCTTGCGGCGTCGAAGCTCGTCGGCTCTCTCGAGGCGGCGCTCTTCCTCCATCTCGGCCTGCCTGTCGCGCGCCTCTGCTCGCATCTTGACGCGTTCTGCCTCGAGGATGGCTTCGTTGGAGCGCACCTCGGAGGCTCGCGCCTTCCTCGCCTCCTGAGCACGGCGAAGCTCGGCATTCTGCTTTTCGAGCTCCTGCAGCTGCAGACGGAGCTTATCGTAGTCGGCGACTTGATCTTCGTAGAGCGACAGAGGCACCACAGCCTCGGCGACCGAGTCGTGCGTGAGGTCGTCATGGACGCCTGCCCTGCTCTCCGCTCTGGACTGAGAACGAGCAGCAGCGAGCTGAGCCGACTTGCGAGGCGTGAGGTCCATCTGTTCGAGAAGCATGCGGTTCTTCTCCAGGTTGGAGTCCGAGATTGCGTTGGAATCCTGACGGGAGCCGGGCGAATTTTCCAGATCCGAGGCATCGCGACCGAGTCGGCTGTTGGAGCGCATGGACAAGACGCTGGACGCACCTCCTGCGCGGCCGTCCTTGGTGGGACTCGGGGGTGGGGGCATACCAGAATCGGTAGCGGACGGGATGCCGCCCGGGCGAGCAAACATCGAAGCTCGGCCCTTGGTAGCGCGCGGTGTCGGGATGCCGCCCAAGCTCTGTCGTTTCTTGGCCATGCTGGGTGTGCTTTGCAGGACGCTGGAGGCGGCGCGTGCGCCTGCGAGCGACGTTCTGGGCGTGCGGGTGGCTATCGAGGATGCCGAGGGCGCCGGAGCGCGTACGGGGCTCGTCTGGCCGATCTTGGAAGCTTGATGACGTGACGAGTCTTCATCGTCGGCTTGACGCGAGGCGGTGCCAGCAAGGCTCTTGCGCGCCGCGAGTCTGCTGGCGGGACGAGAGGTAGACAGGACCGAGGCGGGTCTGCTTGCCGGCGTCGTGGAGGGAGGGCGCACGCTGATACGAGAGGATGCGCGGGAAGGGGTCTCGGAGGGTGGGCGAGAGACGGTGCTGGCGCGGCGGTGAGAGGGAGTGATGGCACCCTGGCGATCCAGAAGGTCTGAAGCGCGAGACGAGGGTCTGTTGGACATGGAGGAAGCCGGGCGGGCGACGGCGTCGGTGGGTGGCGAATCGTTGATGGCGACCACTTTGGAGGCGGGGCAGAAGACGCCGTTGCCTGGGGCACAGGCAAAGTACTGGGTGCCTTGGACGCTGCCATCGTTCTTGCCCTGGCCGACGCTGTCGCCGGTGAGCTCGAGACCTGCGTAGAAGCCGGGCTTGAATTGGACGGGGCCGAGGTGACGGAGCACACCGACGAGCTCGGATCCCTCCATGCGCACCAAGTCGCCGATCTCGAGCTCTCTTCCGCGACGCACGGTTTCCTTTGCGCGTGAGGCGGCGGTGGACGAGGTGTGGGAAGGCGTTCTGCTGACGAGCGAAGGCGTGTAGCTTCCGCGCGCATGCATGTCCGAGTAGCGTTTCGGGGTGGCCACATTGCGGGCTGTGATGGCTGCTGAGGCGAACGGACTCTTGCTGCGGGCGATCGAGCTGCTGGAGCCGGGCGAGGTCTCTGACCCCGCCGAAGGCGAGCCCTTGGGCAACGGAGCGAGCCTCGTAGGAGGCGTGTCGGATCGCAGCGACGAATGCGACCTGCGCGAGATGAGAGAGGCGCGGGGAAGCCGACCTGCGACGAGCAGTGGCGAGTTGCCATCCGAGTCGACGTCTTCGCGGCCTCCACCGGGTGATGCGACCGAGGGCGACGAGCCGGAGAGGCGGTACTTTGCCGGGTCGTTGTTCGAGATGGCTTCGGCCAGTGTCTGCTTCTTGAACCTCGTGTCCGGACTGTCGATCGAAGGGCTCAGCCCGGCATGCGACGGCGAGATCCTTCTGGAGGCTGACGAGGGTGTCGGAAGGCCCGAACGCATGTTGGGCGTCGTCGGAATGCCCGACATGTTGACTGTGGCGGGCTCGACAATCCGATGGCTTTCTCGATGGGGTTGGGAACGATGCCGGATCGAGTGCTTGACTGAGGCAATCCGATCAGGCGGTCAGGCGGGAGGTGGGAAAGCCCACGACGATGTCGGCTGATCCGATCTTTGAGTAATGTGGGCCGGCGGTGCCGATGATGGTGTTGAAACGGAGACTGGCAGCCTTTCGACATTGGCACCTGCGCGTGAGGACGCCGCGCAGTGTTGATTTTCCAAAGCCTGGCCGTGCGCCGCTGGGAGTGTTGTGTTGCTTTGGCAGCACCCTCGTCTCGACTGCGCTTGGTCGCGCGTGGGCGTTTTGATCTGGTCGTCGAGGTGTGGCTTGAGCTGCACCCTGAAATCAAAGAGTGGAGCGTGGAGAAAACTCGAAAATGTTAGGTCTGAAAAGTCAGGGTGCAGCGCAGTCACCCGACCATTCCGCGCCATCGATCCGAGAGAGACAGAGCTTGAGAGGATGATGCAAACCAGATGCACGTCCCTCTCGCCTGAGCCAGCGACCCTGACCCTGCATCGCAAAAATCACCAAAAGCACACTTTCGGCTGCCTCGCTGACGCACGCTTGGCGCTCGAGCCGTTTCGGAAAGCACGCACGCATGGGTCAGCCCTCGACGCACTGCGCAGTTCGACTCAGCCTCTCCGGCCCCTCTCCCCGCCCGCTCCTGGTGAGCTTCGCTCTTCGCGCTCTTCGCCACCATCTCCATCCAGTCTGACAGTCTGATCTTCCAGACGACAGCATGTCCAAATACACAGAAGCGCTTCCAACACATTCGGGCTGAGCGCGAGCTCCTCCAGGCCCCCTAGGGCGAAATTTCAACGGCCCGGCGCCGCATCGCACCTCTCTTGCTCTTCATGGCTGCAGACGACTTCGACGAGCGCTCGCCGCTGCTGGTGCGCACCGCCAGCGGCAGCAGCACAGGTGCCCTTCAAACACACCGCCAGGCTGATGACGAACTCGACTTTGATGCCAGGTTCCGACAGTGGAAGGCGGCTGTCGCCCGCAAGTTCCGTGGCAAGGCCCACCGACAGGCCAAGCCCACAGTCCTCATCACGCACTTCGACGGTCTCGGCCAGGCTCAGCGCATTCTCGACGCAAAGCGTGCGTCAGCCCTCCGAGACTCTCGTCACGAAGTCACCGCCATGTCATCGGCAGAGTTCCAGCACCAGGTAGAGCAGGTCAAGCATGCCATCAGCAAGCGCATCTATCCCAAGATGATCGCCACCGGCTCCAGTGGCTCCTACTTTATCCGCATCCTGTCAGATCCTTCATATGAGGCCTCGACCGCAACCACCAAGGCAGCCAGCGATGCGTCTCAGTCGCAACCGCCTGCCACCACCGTGGTGGCCGTCTTCAAACCAAAGGACGAGGAGCCCTATGGCAACCTCAACCCAAAGCGACAATTCTTGCGCAAGTATCTGTGGTGGGCCATGGGTCGTCCATGCCTGATTCCCAACTTCTCATACCTTTCCGAAGTCGGTGCCTCGTATCTCGACTCGCGCCTCGCTCTGCAAATGGTACCCAGGACCGAACTGGTCCAACTCTCCTCGCCTACTTTCCACTACGCATACAACGACCGCGTAGCGTACGACGAGCATCGCGTCCCCTTGCCAGACAAGATCGGAAGCTACCAGACGTTCCTCAAGGGCTACGTCAATGCTTCCGACTTTCTGCGCAAGCATCCCTGGCCGTCTCGCACTCGAAGCAAGACGCTGCTCATCCGGGACATGGACGAAGAGAGCCGAGCCCACAAGGTCTCCCGCAGGAAAGAGCGCGCGCGACTGCGCAACTGCGGAGTCGCCATCAAACGTCTCGTCCTCTGCCGTCCTTCATGGGAAGAGCTCAATGGCGATTCATTGCCCTCCGCACCTCATCCGTCCGCATCTTCGCCAGCACCTGGTACGGAGGTCAGCGCCTTGAACTCTCCCGTTCCCGACGGCGCTCCGACGGATGGCTTCTCTTGGACGCCCAAACTCATGGAGCAATTCCGCCTGCAGCTGGAGCGGCTCGTCGTCCTGGACTTCCTCATGCGCAACACGGATCGCGGCCTCGACAATTTCATGATTCGGCACGATACCGAGAGGGACGAGATCAAGATCGGTGCTATCGATAACTCGCTCTCGTTCCCGATCAAGCATCCCAACGAGATCCGCCAATACCCGTTCGGATGGCTCTTCCTTCCGAGCGACCTCATCGGGCTGCCCTTCTCCGACGCCACACGCGAGCATCTGCTTCCTATCCTCAACGATCCGACGTGGTGGCAGCACACCACTCGCGGCCTCCGCAAGATCTTTGAGCAGGATCCGTACTTTGACCAGGCCAAGTTCGACAAGCAGATGAGTGTCATGCGTGGCCAGGGCTGGACCCTGGTCCAAAGTCTCCGCGCTGCCGACGAAGGTCCCCTCGACCTGTGTGCTCGCGAAAAGAAGCTCATCCGGCAGGAGGTGCAAGAAGTCTCCGAAGACCGGCTCGAGAAGATCGAGGGCTTCAAGGCGGCCATCGATTCCGAAGGACACGTGGTTGGCACCATCAAGCCATCCGAGCAGCCTAGTGTGGCCAATGTCTCCACTCATAAGCCGTCCATCTCCCGCACGATCTCATCTGGAGTGCTTGAGCAGGAGCGCCGACCCATCGGCATCCGGGCGTCCGAATCATACCGCAAGGCCCTCCTCCAAGCTGCTGGAACGGATGCCGTTGCGAACGACATTGCAGATCTGGAGAATGGATCTATGCTGCCTGCCGAGTCAGACTCGACTGCCGCAGCGATCTCGTCTTCGCTGCCTCAATCTTCAACGTTGTCTGGCAAGATGGCATCGTCTGCCTTGGACGGCGCTGAACGTTCAGGCAATGAGCGCGTGCCCTCGCGCCACCAGCGAATGGCATCGGCCAACGATGTCGGCACCCTCTCGTTCCGGCGAGCTGATGTCAACCGAGCTTCGGATGAAGGCGACGGCATTCTTGGCCGTACCGGCATCGAGATTCTGGAGGGGCTCGACCGTGAGCGCAAACGCAACCACCGGCGCGGCTTCCTGCGTTCGCGCCAGCGTTCCAGCACTATCTCGTCGAGCGACGCAGCTGTTCCGTCCCAAGGCCGAGCACAGGCGGGGCACAGAATACGGCAGAGCTCGGAGGATGCTGGCAGGGGAGCCGGAGAAGGAGGTTGGGACCTGGCAAGCTCGGTGATGTCGGATCCCGGCATGCGCTTCGACGGCACGAGGCGCTGGCCGCGCTCGCAATCGGCTACTCGACCAGCCGAGGGTATGGTGGGATCTCTGTACGACCTCCACAGCCAGGATGAGGTGCTGTCAGAGGAGGAGGAAGAAGAGGAAGACGACGCCGAGTACAGCCGAGGCGACTCGGTCGGCGCGGCGTCTGGGCCTAGCAGTCCGACGTTCCGCAGGCAAGTGCCGACGATCGAATCGGTGCTACGGGCACACAGCGACAACACCAAGGGCAGTCCCGCGGCGACGCCGGATGAAGGAGCTGGCGAGGGTCAGGGAGGATCGTTTGTCCCTCACATCCCCCATCCGCGCTCAGTTGGTCGAACTGGCTACGATGCGGACAACGCAGACAACGATCACCGCTCCAAGGGCAATCCGACCAAGCGGTTGGTCAAAGTGGTGGTGGAGAAGATCTCGTCCGACACGAAACAGGCGTGGCTCAAGTGGATCTGAGTCGGAGCACACCACTGACATGAATCACGACACGATGCACAATCACACAATCTCACGCCCAACAGACGATATGAAGGGGGAGCATGATGGCTGCAAATATTGCGAATTGAGCCGGGTATCAATAGGTGTGACAAGCACGAGTCACATGTAGGTGGGTGCGGCCGAACGCAGACGGCTGCGCACTTGATTGGCGGTGGGTCTGGCGGCGGGATCGGCGTGGAGCATGTCGCGCAGGAGGTCTCTGGCCCAGTCTGGCAATCGTCCACCGGCGGGGAGGATGATGGCGGGGTGGCCGTCGGCATACGGGCGCAGGTCCGGTGAGTGCTGTTCCCACGCCGACAAGTCGTCATCGGGTGCCAGATGCGTGGCTGTCTCGCGTGCAGTGTTCTCCACGACGAGCTGGTCATGTTCATCGAGGTTCGGGAAGGTAGTGGACGTGGGCGAGAACATGGTGCGCAGTCGGCTAGGCTTGGTCGGGGTGGTGGCTAGTTCGTCGGCGCGCTCTGCGACCAGTTCTGACCCCGATACCTGCGCAATGGCTACAGCGCCCGACGGGCTGTGGTGTGCGCTCTGGCTTCGCACCTCGTCGCCGTACGAAGAGCGGCGTCGCAGCCAGTCGGGACGCGAAGATGCCTCGAGCATCGCCACGCGCGCCACACCCGGCGCTCCTTTCCTGACCGCAGGTCGGTCCGTGGCGTCTGAGGCATGGCTATCGCCAGCTGCGGTGATGGGCGAGGCGAGCGCAGAAGTGCCCTCGTCGCGCGAGATGCGCAGCCTTTGCAGGGCCGCACTGCCCGTCGCCGTCGCATTGCGCCCGCCTGTGGATGCGGCCCTTCGGACGTCGGCCTTGGCGAAGAGCAGCGAGTTCTTGCGCGTTGGCCCGCTGGGATCGACGAGCAGGCCGCGCGGCTCGTCGGTGGGCTCGAGCAGCCGCGAGACGGCGAGGGAGCTCGGATGGCGCCCGGCGATGGTGGTGATGCTCGACGCCACGCTCTCGAGGCTGTCGCTGCTCGCTTCGCGGCGCGGCGTGCGCGGTGCGGGCGAGCCGAGCTGCAGGATGCGGTGGAGCGAAGACGCCAGCTGTGCGGGAGAAGCGGCGCCGGCGGGCATCTCGTTGATCGAGGCCGACGACGACTTTTGGTGCCGACCGCGCAGACTGCCGCTGCGACTGGCGGGTTGGCTGTTGGGGTTGCTGCCTGCTTCGACGGCGAGGCGCGAGGCGCGGTCGTTCTCCTCGCTCTCGAAGAAGAGGCGCTTGCGATGGAGCATCTCGACCACGCTGCGTGCCTTGCTGAAGGGCTCCGTGCCGGTGGCGAGCGAGTAGAGCACGGCGCCGAGCGAGAAGATGTCGATTGGATAGGAGAAGCTCGTAGCAGTCGGGCCACCCGTGGCGCGGCTCAGCTCGGGAGCACAGTAGGCGGGCGTGCCGAGGCCGAGACCATCGCGGGGCGGATCGTTTGGGTTGGGGAAGACGGCGGAATTGAAGTCGCAGAGCTTGATGTCGAGGCCGTCTGTGAGCAGCATGTTCTCCTTTTTGATGTCGGCGTGCACGCAGCCCTTGTCGTGAAGGAAGACGACGGCTTCGACCATCTGATGGGCCCAGTCGAGCCACTGCTGCAGATCGATGCGGTCAGCGTGCTTCCTGGCGTAGAGGGCGAGGTTGTGAGGCAGAAGCTCGAGCAGGATGAGGAGGCGCGGAGGGTCGGGCGCGGTGCTGGCCAATCTGCGAACAGGCGCGGTGTGAATGCGCTGGTCGGCCTCGTTGGCGTCTGCGCTGATCTCTTGCGCATCGCTGTCGGGTGCATGCACCAAGAAGGTCGGGTTGGCGCTCCGATCACTTGCCCTGTACTCGGTTGTGACGACTCTGGTGCGAGACTTGATGCCGCGAGACTCAGCGGGGTGCGAGTCAGGCAAGGAGTCGCGAGCCGCTTGACGCTCGATTTCTTCGGCCAGGGCGCGTTTGTGCGACTTTGTCTCGAAGATGAGCTCGTCCTTGCCCGTCATGTCGCTGGTCGATCTCGCGTGGCTTGCATGTCCAAGCGGTGTGGACGGTGCGCCTCTGCCTTCGATGCGGGGAAGACCGAGCCCGAGCCCTAGCCCTGCGGAGGGGACGTCGGAGCGGGAAGCGTGCGGGCTGGCAGATGGGTCGGGTGCCGTGACAAACTCCACCTCGTCACGAATGTCGATGAGCTGGATGATGTTGGGATGCATGCCGAGGCGACGAAGTGCGAAGGCTTCTTCGAGGCCCAGGAGCTGGCTCTGACGGTCGGCGTGAAGACGTTTGATTGCGCAGAGGCGCCACATGCTGGCTTGGTGTGCTGAGTCGGAGCTGGATGCTGATGGTAGGGGATCATGCGTTGGACGGTAGCTGCCCAGATAGACGCAGCAGTGGCGGCCCTCGCCGAGGAGGAACTCGTTGGTGGGGCAGAGGCGAAAGTCGACATGCTTGGCGGCGCGTATTCTGGCCTCCTCCTGAAGGCACTCCTCTGAGCTGGCTCGGCCGAGGGACGAATTGCGCGAATGACCGAGTTTGCGACCCGTGGCCTGCTGCTTGGCTGCGGAGGGGCTTGTTATTGTCGGTGCGGGAGCAAACGGCGCAGGCTCGGAGTCGAGCTGACGAGTGGCTGTGACGGCGGCATGTGTCGACGACGAGGAACGAGCCGGAGCGTTGTGCAGGCGTGCTGGTGGTGGCGGGGGCTGCAAGGGCGGCTGTGGCGAGGGACCGGAGCCGAAGGAGGAGAAGAAGGACGAGTTCTTGGATGGCGGAGGAGCGGCGGTGTGAGCTTGCGAGGGTGGAGTGGGATTGATGCGTGATGGAGGCGTGAGCCAAGAGACGGGTGCGTTGAAGATGTCGTTCTTGCTGTGTGGTTTCTGTGGCGGCTTGAAGTCTTGTTCGAGTGTGGCGGCGGTGACGAGTGGGGTATTCTGCTGTGGAGCGGAGGTGGCAGGATGGAGCTCGAAGGCGGAGCCACCGGAATCAGGTGGCGTGAGGGGCAGATCGTTGAAGTCAAAGGGTTGGTCTGGGCAGCTTTCGTAGGAGCTGCCGAGCGTGGCGCCGAGCGGAGGCGGCTCGGGCGATGCGGGCGAGCGAGACTTTGCGGACGAGTGTTTGCGCGCTGCGCTGGACCAAAATGTGTCCAAGGGCCATGGAGCTCTGGACCTCGAAGTGGACGGCTTGGAGTGCTTGGAGGCTGCGATGACCGAGGAGTTTGAAGGCTGGGGGTCATCCGCGCCGGGAGACGCTCGACGAGGCGCGGGCACCATGCTGGCCCGGGGTATCGTGTTGGCTCAGGGTGCCGAAGGTGCTCGCCCGATGATTGACGACGAGAGCGAACGCGGATGCGAGGATGGTGTGACGACTAGCGGGCGCCGATGCAGAACATAGTTGCGTGGCGGGCGGCAGGGCGAATGAGATGGTGGGAGAGGAAGAAGCTGAGCTGAGCTGAGCTGAGTTGGGCTGAGCTGGTGGGATGCGAGCGGATGTACCGAGAGCAGAGGAGCTAGGGTTGAAGCTGAGCAGTTGCCGAGCAGACACCCACCTAAAAAGTCGATGGAAGCCCCGACGGTCAGATTTGGCGGAGACTCCGACCGGCGCTGCCAAAGCTGTCTCGCGGCTGCATCAGGGCTTCCATGTCGGTGGCAGACAGACTAGGCTCGCTCGCAACGTGACCCCGCCGCCGCGTCCTGGGTCGGTCGGACCGACTCCGAGCGTATCTCTCGCAGCTCTCCAGCGCGGTTCAGCCGTGCGAGCGATAAGCATCACACCGTTTCACCACAACCATGCCCCTTTCGTCACCTCACTGCTCCAAGTCTCGACTCTTAATCTACAGCCTAAACTCGATCGCACCAGTGACGTTGAGCGGGGCCAAGTTGCTCACAGTGGAGGCGGCGGCCCAAAAAATAAAATACGAAAAAAAGCTTACTGAGCAAGGGTCGCCTCAAACACTGAGATTTCGCCAGAGTGCCCGTCGAGCAAATCCGAAGCCCGCCTGTCCTTGGACGCCGCTGCGTGCCTCTTGTCGCGCACGCAGCACTGTGTTGGAGCGGATGCTTTGCTTCAGGCTGCCTGCACCGCATCCAAACGCGGCTCCAAGCTATTATAACGTCGGTGGCCTGGTCGTGGCTGGTCCGTACTGGCGTCGTTGGTAATGGGCAGTACGAGGCAGGACACGAGCCAACTACAGTAGGGTCGACCACGGCTGCAATTCGTCATTGCTGCGCGCTCGCTTAGATTGCCAAAACAAATCCGGCAGGAATGTGCCTGTCTCGTGTCGGTCTACGCAATGCAGTCGCGTACAGCACCCCACCCCACGGCTGCGAGCCGCCGAGCGCGGGCCGACTTGCATCTGGCAATCCAATCACCCGATTATGAGAGGATCCATCGCCGATATGCACCACACTCCGCTTTCAACAGAATCGGACGGCGCCCTGATCAGGCAGGTGGGGTCGGCTGACGAGGCTCGGTGGGGTTCGAGGGGCGTTACGCGCGCATTCTAGCCGGCAATGAAAGGCACACGCGATCCGAACCGGTGCAAGGTGGCCGCACCGTCTTTGCTGCCCTTCGACCTTCCACCATCTCCCATCCGTGTCTGACAGCGCCTGACAGCGCAGACGGCAACCATGGCGCTCTTCAAGCAGTACGACGACTTCCTCCTCGACAACGCCTCCCAGATCACTGCGGTCGAAAGCTCGCTCCGCTCCATCACCTACTTCCTTCCAGGTCGTTTCAAAGATGCAGAGCTCGCCGGAGAGGCCCTCTACGCCTCGCTGAATCTGCTCGGTCTCTACCACGACTCCATCCTCGCACGCGCGCTCGACAGGCACGACCCCGAAGCAACCACATCCACCACAGTGTCGAACCCTTCGGAGAAGCGCATCGCACCATCCACCACCTCGCAGTACACCAACGCCATCACCGGCATCACTCCCTCCGAGCATGCAAGATACACCCAGCACTTTTCTCGCAACTCCAACGGCTACAATCGCGTAGCCAGAACCCTCGTCGTTATCGGCTACTTTGAGCTCCTCGCAGAGATGGTCGCCAGGAGAAAGCTCGGGCGCAGAAAGGCATGGGACGTCGTCGCTGCCATCGAAGCAATCAAGGTCGCCCTGCGTCTCAGCCTCGTTCACCTCTCGGGCAACCGCATGCCCATCCACCCACCCATTCCAGAGCGCGAAGTCGATCCCGCTGCCCTCGAGCGCGGCAGGGCAAAGACCATGGGCGAATTGTCGACAAGGCTCGATCAAGCCGTCCAATCTTCGCACCAAGCCCTCTCCGACTCGGAGCTTCCCCTGCCCAAGGGCTTTTGGAAGGGCTCTCGCACCGGCCTCTTGCGACCCACGCTCGCCTCCCTTCGACCCGGCTACGACGACGCCGAATCAGAGCCCGTGCCATCGGTCGCCGAACCCGACCGCCGACCGCCGCACCTTCGCGCCATGCGGATCAATGCCGCTCAGTCGGGCTCCGACACCGACGATACCCTGGTCGACTCCACCCGCCTCACCGCATCCACCATGGCGCTCAGCACGCATTCCAACCCAGACGCCCACCCACCTTCGCCTCCCGTCCAGATGAAGCCGTGGTCCGAGTCGCAGATCAACGACTACCTCCTCTCGCGCGTGCTCAACATCAACGACGTGCGCAAGCCCGAGGACCTCGTCCGACCGCTCCGCAACCGCACCGCGTGGACTGCAGAAGCGCTCTGGATCCTGCGTCCTTTCCTCTACGTCATGGCCCTTCGACGGTGGGGTCGAAGGGCGACGCTTCCGTTTGTGCTTTCCTTTGTGCTCGAGTATCTCGCCAAACAGCTGCGCTCCCGATCCTTCAGCCCACCCGGTGCTGCCGCCAAGAATCCCTTCGCCACTAATCCGCTCATGGCCGCTCTCATGGGCCAGAACCCTCTCCTCTCCATCATCACCAACATCTTCATGGGCGGCAATCCGGCAGACAAGGCAAAACGTCCCATCTCGGCCGTCGAAGATGCAGAATGGTCCAAACGCGGCAACGCCTTCTGGTACTACCTCCTCCGTGGACCCGTGTGGTACAACTTTACCCGTCCCAAACTCGCTAGCCTCGCCGATCGAACCCAGGGTAAATTCCTCATCGGCATCATCGGCGGCATGCTCGGCGACTACCTCCCACTCATCGACGACTACTACTTCTACTCGGCCACCTGAGCCGCCGCGCCCCTCTCACCCACCACCTCATAATCACCGCAATCCAGGTCCTCGACGAACTCACCTGACAAAGACCGGACTGCAAAGTACGATTTGAAAGAGCATGCAATACAGATGAGATTTTCCAGGTGATGCGTTGGAGGATAAGGGGGATGTACGATCCATGTTTCTATTGGGGCAATGCTGCCGACGGCCCTGGTGGCGACGCGACGCCGTTGGCCTGCGCCTGCTCCTTCTTGTGCGCGCGGGCTGCTATCGCGCGCGCCACCCACCCGACCATGTCGACGCCCTCTTCGCCCTTGGCCGCGTCCTGCACCAGGAAGTCGTGCTGCAGCAGCTGCGCGTACGTCGGCCGGCGCGACGGCACCTTTTCCAGACACTTGGCCACAAAGTCGCGCGCCGTGTCCGAGTACAGCTCCGCCGGCAGCTCGGGCGGGTCGCCGTGCACGATCGCCTGCAGCTGCGCAAACACATTCGAGTAGGTCTCGGGCGGATACGGATACGTCCCCTGCGTCGTCTCCACCATCGACAGCCCCAGCGACCACACGTCCGACGCCACCGTATACGTGCCGAGCATGTTCTGCGACTCGCCCTTGATGCGCTCGGGCGCCATGTACGACTGACATCCGATGTTGGTCTTGGCCAGCGACTTTTCCAGCTGGCCCGACACGCCAAAGTCGCACAGCTTGACCTGGCCCTTTTGGTTGATGAGCACATTGGTGGGCTTGACGTCGCGATGCATGATCTGCAGCTGGTCCTTGAGGAAGCTCAGCCCGCGCACCATGCTGCCCGTGATCCTCGCCAGCACGTCCTCAGGCACGCTGCCGCGCTCGCCGTACAGCTTGTCGAGGCTGCCGGCGTTCATGTACTCCATGCAGTAGTACACGCACGATTCGATGAAGAACGCGCCGTAGAACTCGACGATCTGCGGCGCGGTGGCGCGGTGCAGGATGTCGAGCTCCATGATGATGGCGTTGAGCTTGGATTCGTCCAGCTCGAGGCGGATCTCCTTCATGGCCATCTCGACGTGCGTCTGGGTGTGTCGCACCTTGCGCACCGTACCGTAGTTTCCCTTGCCGAGCTCGTCGAGCAGCTCGAGCTCGGCCATGTTGATCTTGAACGAGGTGCCGTTGCCAAATTCGACGCCCGAGGCATGCAGCACGGCCTTGCCGCTGAAGTTGAGCCGACCGGAGGGGTCGACGATCTTGGAAAAGTTGCTAAAGGGCGTCGACATGGCACCGTCCTGCTGTGCGGTACCATCGTTGCCCTTGGAAGCGCCGGTGCTGTCGGACAAGCGCCCTGGTGGTGGCGCTCTTCGGCCTGTGCCTGCGCCGAGGCCAGAGCGCGGCGCGCTACCTGCGTCGAGTCCATCGCCGGCGCCGACGCCCATGTCGCTGAGCTTGAGGCCTGGACGGTTACGCCTGGCGCCCATGCCGGCGCCGGGAGTGGCTGAGGGGGAGCCTGCTAACGAAGGCGCACCGAGGGTACCAGGGATGCCCCTGCGAGCGGCGAGACCGCCCATGCCGGTGCCCGGAGAGGCGCCCGGACGCGCGGCTGCCGAGACAAAGAGCGATGCGCTCGCGCTGCTGTCGATGCGCTGGTCGTGACCGAGGACTGCATGGTTGGGCGAAGGCGAGAGTGCGGAGCGGTTGGCGTTGGCGGCAAGCTTGGCCTGCAAGCTCGGCGGAAGGCGTGCTCCGGCCATCTGTCGCGCTCGTTCGGCAGCTCCGACAGCGGTGTTGGCAGGTCTTGCTGCGGATGGCCCGCCTGTTGCTTGGTTGGGACGGAGAGAGGGCGAGGCTCGGGACGGTGGCCCACCAGTGGCTGCCTGCGGCGGTAACGGGGCCACACCATTTGAGGAAGGAAGCTGCGAGTCCGATAGACTCATCTGAGCGGTGAGGCGCTCCACGTCTCCTGCGGTAGCTGAGTCGGTCATTGCGGGCGAGCCGACGACGGTCAGAGCCGGGTCACAAAGCGCTTGGCGGCCGAAGAATGCTCTATTCTGTTCGGGAAGCGGAGGCTGACAGACGACTCGACGAGTCTAGGGAGCTGCGTATTTTGCGTACTTTGCGAGAGGCGGCTAGAGGGTAGATGCAGATGCTTTCGGAGTTACCCCGACGGGCGAGGTAGATCGATTCGCGCTGCTGAAAGACAGAGACAGGCTCAGAGGACGAGTTGCGCGAGCCGCCGACCGATGGAGGAAGCGGAAATGCAGAGGAGAGGGCCGGCCGAAGGATCGTGCTGATCAGAGAAAGAGAGAAAGAGTCTGGCGCCGTCCAGTTCGATGGTGGGATTGCGCGCGATGTGATGCAGGTGATGGTCGATTTCGAGTCGTAGCAATATGGTGTGCCGATGCAAAGGAGAAGTGACGAGGTGACGAGGAAGGAGTGGGTGACGGTCGCAAGTCGAGCGAGGCCAAACGATGGCGCCAGATGCAAGGGCTGCAGACGCCGTTGAGCAACGGCAGAGATGCGGTCGGCTGCACCGATCCAGCTTGCCCATCCCACCCATGCACGCCAGTCAGCCCAGCGCTGCTCAGTCCGTTCGCCGTGCCAAATAGCTTGGGCTTGCCAGGCGTTTGACTCCCGCTAGCCACGTCTGCCGAGCGTGGAATTTCGCAGCTCGAAAATGAACCTGGCTGGCCCGGCGCAGCACGGCCACGCTCCTGCAGTCGATCCGTTTGCACCTCGGCCACACGGCGAGCAGTTGCATTCGCATCTTGGACGAAATCGGCCCCTCCATCTCACCGCGTTCCACGCAGCACCATGTTCACGTCCACTTGTTTTCGTCCGCAGCGATATGGCCTCGCATGGACTGAGGCTTGAGAACAGACTTCTAAATTGTCGCTCGGCATAAGTGTGCTCTGCGTACAGCAGAGGATCCCAGCCTGGTCGCCAGGAATGTACCGACCCAATGCCTGGAGCTGTCAACATTGGAGATGTGCGAAAAGAGCTCATGCGAAGCCTGAGCGCATGTGTCCGTCAAACTCCGAGAGTGTCGAGTCGAGCCTTGAGGCGGCTTTATCACCCTCAGTCTGTGCTTGTGACGTTGCAGTCGAGTGTAGCCTGCCATCAGCTCCAGTCCTGTCGCTCCTGCTTGCGATGGTCCTCGATGAGAGCGACACTCTGCATCTCGTGAGTCAGCTTCGACAGAGCTGCCGAACGAACCGACGCGGCAATCGTTGGAAAGGGCACGAAATCCTCGCTTGGCTCCCTCCCTCGATCGATCGATCGGAGACACTGCGAGACCTGATCGAAGAAGCCCCCTCATCGAGAATTGCAGACGGCTGACATCGGGGACCACGAGCCCGATTCAGTAGACGAGGTTTTGGCTCCTCCGCCATGTCTCTGCCCGGCTTTGGGTCGAATTCCGCTCCGAGTGGTTCACTGGAGGCACAGGCAAGGCCGTCTCTCGACTTGGCTATCGAGCCGATTCGGAAGAAGAAGTCCAAGTCCAGTCCAAAGATTCAGTCTCGGGTGTGCTCCTCTGTGCGTGAATGCTCGGACCCGCACCAACGCGGCAGCCGCAAAAATCCTTCCGCATGAGCGTGGAATGCTGTGGATCCGGCCGACCGTCGCCCCAACTCTTTCTTGCTCCGGCTAGCAACTCGAAGGTGGCCTTTTCACTGGACGCTCGCCTCGAAGGTCAATCACACTTCGAATGAGACGAAGGTATGATGCAGATCAGCGTCGCCCAAGGCAATCTGTGAGGTCCTTGAGGGTTGGCAAGCGCGCTGCCAGCACAGGGCGATCGACCCACGTCTCTGTAAGTTAGCTTGGTGGCTCTGCTCTACCCCGCGCGCTGCCCCGCGCTCCGGCTCAAAGCCAAGCTTTCGCAGGAGTGAGCCGCAAACGTTTGGGAACAGCTGCTCGCAGCTCGGACGCAGCCCTGCTCCATTGCCGGTAAGTCCCCAAAAGCCGATCCGAATTCTTCCTGGTTTTCAGCCATTTTCCACGGGTTGGATCGAGAAGGCCCCAGCTCAGGACGCCTGTCCTGTCTCTTTTTGGCTCCGGCACGTCGCCGCTCGCTTTGCTCGCTCGTTGGCGCCCAGGCAGCAGACCACACGCGCGTGAATAGGCCAGCGCATGGCCAGGCATCCTTTCTTCGTCCGCGGTCCACGCTCGAGCCCTCGATGGCTCTCGACGCTCCCTGCTGCCCCGCCCTGCCCCGCCTCGTCCGCCAGCCCCGCCCGTCGCCTACTTGAAAGTCCAACACAACTTTGCCGGCTCTTCCATCCCCACCACCTCCTTCCAACCACCTTCCCTCCATCTTCAGCCCATCTCTTCGTCGAGTTACTACATCGACAGACGGATCGTAAGTGTGCTTCTCTCGCTTCCCTTCATCGATATCCACACCCCGTGTCGTTCGCACCGGTCCAGATTGCTTTTCGAGCTAGCGCAAGCGTATCCGCGTACGCGTGTCGTCGACGACCGGATGGACCCGGCACGCTTTGAGAAGCCGGGTCCGACCCACAGTCCAAGCTGTTTTGCAAGAGCGCGCCCATTCGAATCTCAATGACTGACCTCGAATCGCTTGTTCTGGTTTCTTCGAATCTCGAATCGCGCAGATGCCTCGCCTCGTCTCGCAATCCACCCTGGCTGCATCGCTTCGATCCACCTCCACTCGATCGATCTCCACCTCTGCTCTTCCCCGAGCCACTGCTGTCGCTGCCCGCTCCGTCGGCCAGCTCGCCAACAAGTCCGTTCTTGCCCAGCTTCCCCGAAGCGCCGCCTTCTCCACCTCCGCTCGCGCCATGGGTGGCCACGCCGGTGTCGGAAAGGGTGAGGACAATGTGCGCCCTCCCCCCGACCAGGTCCTCCAGGACATTGCCGATTACGTGCACAACTACAAGATCGACTCCCAGGTCGCCTACGACACTGCGCGCCTCTGCCTGCTCGACTCGTTGGGATGCGCCATGGAGGCCCTCCGCTTCCCCGCTGCTGCCAACGTCTGCGGTCCCGTCGTCCCCGGCACGGTCGTGCCTAACGGCGCCCGTGTGATCGGCACCAACTACGAGCTCGACCCCATCCGCGCAGCCTTCAACAACGGTGCGCTCATCCGATGGCTCGACTTCAACGACACCTGGCTCGCCGCCGAGTGGGGCCACCCCTCGGACAACATTGGCTCCATCCTCTCGGTCGCCGACTGGATCAGCCGCACCAACATCGCCAACGGCAAGAAGCCCCTCACCGTCGAGGACGTGCTGACCGCCGCCATCCAGGCTCACGAGATCCAGGGCTGCCTCGCCCTCGAGAACTCGTTCAACCGCGTCGGTCTCGACCACGTCGTCCTCGTCAAGGTCGCCTCGGCCGCCGTCGTCTCCAAGATGATCGGCAACACCCGCGACCAGACCGTCGACGTCGTCTCGCAGGCTTTCGTCGACGGCCAGTCGCTGCGTACCTACCGCCACGCTCCCAACGCCGGCTCGCGCAAGTCGTGGGCTGCCGGTGACGCGTGCTCGCGTGCCGTCAACCTCGCTCTGCTCGTCCAGAAGGGCGAGCAGGGCTACAACTCGGTGCTCACCGCCAAGACCTGGGGCTTCTACGACGTGCTCTTCAAGGGCAAGGAGTTCAAGTTCCAGCGCCCCTACGGCTCGTACGTCATGGAGAACGTGCTGTTCAAGCTCGTCCCCGCCGAGTTCCACTCGCAGACCGCCATCGAGGGCGCCATCGTGCTCCACGGCAGGATGCAGAAGAACGGCAAGACCTCGGACGACATCAAGCACGTCACCATCAAGACGCAGGAGGCCGCCGTCCGCATCATCTCCAAGTCGGGCAAGCTCAACAACTACGCCGACCGTGACCACTCGCTCCAGTACATCACCGCCATGGGCCTCATCAACGGCAAGCTCGACCCCGAGGACTACTCGGACGAGGTGGCCAAGAACCCCAAGATCGACGAGCTGCGCGCCAAGATGTCGGTCGAGGAGGAGGCTCGCTACACCACCGAGTACCTCGACCCCGAGCTCCGCTCCATCGGCAACAGCGTCGAGGTCACCTTCAACGACGGCACCACCGACTCGATCGCGCTCGACTACCCCGTCGGCCACGCCCGTCGCCGCGACGAGGCCAAGCCGCTCATCAAGGCCAAGCTGCAGAAGCACCTCAAGGGCTTCTTCCCCGAGGCGCGCCAGTCCGAGATCGTCGCTCTGCTCGAGGACCACGCAAAGCTCACCAAGCTGCCCGCCAACGAGTTTGTCGACCTCTGGGTCCGCGACCAGTAAACTGGCAGCGCTTGCATGCACGCACGCCCGCCCGTCCGACGTCCTGTATCCTGGCTCTGTAGATGTGACAAAGCGCATCGCGCGCCAATCGCAATTGCAGAATGAACTCAAGCTTGCGTGCCTGGGTACCGGTGGTGAGTGCCATTTCTTGAGGGAGGAATCGTCGGCATTTCCGAGGTGTCCGCACGATTGAGCCGAGCGAATCAGCGTCGCGCATGCTTCGGTCGCGCCGATACGTAGCCCCGCGTGCTGCAGATCGAACCGTATGCATTGCCGCCCCAGCTTCTTCAGCAAGTCCCAGCTTCGGCCGTCCCGACGAGAGATGGCTAGAAAAGCTATGCGGACGTGAGTATAGCGAGTCGTCACAGGAGCTCTGACGGTGTCGAGCGCTTCTCTTGGTAGAGCAGCAACATGCAGAAAAACGCACGACGGCTCGAAAAGGAGGATGCCCGCCGAGCGCCGTCTCGCGTAGCACGCAATCGCAATCTGCGAATTTCTCCGTGACTGCTGAGCCGGAAGTTGGAAGAAGTGGGCTTGGCGCTTGGACATCTAGGGACCGTGCTCTCTTTTTTCGTTCGGACAGAAGCCGAAGCCAATACTTGCGCTTCGACCACCACTTGACAGTCTCAGCAGCGCATTCCCATCGGCCCTTCCCACGCCTGTCGAAGGTACAAGTTCGATCACCATGGCAGCTGCTCTTCCGAGGTCATTCGCGGGCTTCGCCCGCGCTTCCGTCCGTGCGCTGCACAGCTCGAGCCGCTCGGCCGCTTCGACCTCGACGCTGTCGCCCGTCGCCGCCGCACACATGCGCCCCGTCAACGGCTTTGTCGGTGCCGTCGGCAACACGCCGCTCATCCGTCTCAACAAGATCAGCGCCGAGACCGGCTGCGAGGTGCTCGGCAAGGCCGAGTTCATGGAACCAGGAGGAAGCGTCAAGGACCGCGCTGCCCTCTACGTCGTCAAGGACGCCGAAGAGCGCGGCCTCATCAAGCCGGGAGGCACGGTCGTCGAGGGCACCGCCGGCAACACCGGAATCGGCCTCGCCCACGTCTGCCGCTCCAAGGGCTACAAGTGCGTCATCTACATGCCCAACACCCAGTCGCAGGAGAAGATCGACCTGCTCCGCATGCTCGGTGCCGAAGTGTACCCCGTCCCTGCCGTCGCCTTTGACAACCCGGACAACTACAACCACCAGGCAAAGCGACACGCCGAGCGCCTCGACAACGCCGTCTGGACCAATCAGTTCGACAACACGGCCAACCGTCAGGCCCACATCGAGACCACCGGCCCCGAGATTTGGGACCAAACCGACGGCAAGCTCGACGGCTTCACCTGCGCCACCGGCACCGGCGGTACCCTGGCAGGTATCACCAGCTACCTCAAGGAAAAGAGCGGCGGCAAGGTGCAGTGCTGGCTCGCTGACCCACCCGGCTCGGTGCTTCACTCCTACATCCAGACCAAGGGCAAGCTCATGGACCGTCAGGGTGGATCCATCACCGAGGGCATCGGCCAGGGCCGTGTCACCGAAAACCTCAAGCCAGACATCGAGAAGCTCGATAACTCGATGCACATCCCAGACGAGGAGAGCATCGCCATGGTCTACGAGCTCTTGCACGAGGAGGGCATCTACGTCGGTGCCTCGTCGGCGCTCAACGTGGTTGCCGCCAAGAAGATGGCGCAGCAGCTCGGCCCCAACAAGACCATCGTCACCATCCTCTGCGACGGTGCGTACCGCTACCAGGCCAGGCTCTTCTCGCGAAAGTGGCTCGAGTCCAAGGGCCTCGTCGGGGCCATCCCTGACAGCCTGCAAAAGTACATCGTTCTTCCATGAAGTCGATGACACAAACCACTTCACTGCAGCAACACTTATTAAGTTGTGACTCTGTGCGAATAACATCGTATTTGCAAAGTATGCCACGACGTAGGATACAGGTTAGAATACAGAATGCGCACATGACTAGCAGCGGTGAGCGAGATTAGTTAAGAGGCTAGATGCGATGGGAAGTGATTGTCCGAGATAATTAAAGCAAAGTGGAAGCAAGGCGGTGAGCCTGTTCGAGTGAGCCGGATCCAAGGCCCTGCCTCTCGAATGCGTTGCTGGAGTTCGTTGGCGCAGGCATAGAGAGTTCGGTGAGGCCACGCTGGCGTCGCCACCAGTTGGTCCTGCGAAGGATCGAGTCGTCGAACAGGCCCCACCACTTTTGCAGCATGCGCTCGCTGAGCTCCCACGCCTCGGGATCCAGCACGTCATCGCCGTAGACGTGGAACGAAGCGACACCCTCGTCGGTGGACAGGATCGAGAGAAGCAGGTCCAAGGCGAGCTCCTCTTCGCACACGGGTTGAGCCAGCGCATGCTTGACCAGGCGTGATCGGACGGCTGGCCACGGCAGACAGGCGTCCAAGAAGGCTCGGTGCGGATGGAGCAGCTGCTCCGTAGTAGGGAGCATGTTGGAGCTCAGCGAGTCCCAGTCGATGGCAGCATCAAAGACCAGGCCCTTGGCTGGCTCCTCATCGGCGCAGCCAGACTTGGCGAAGAGCTCGAGGCGCGAAAGCAGTCCTGGCAAGCCATTCCCGCTATGTGCTAGACCAAAGCGCGATGCGATCGCCTGGACAATGCTTGCAAAGGAGAGCGACGGGATGGCGACGGATCGCGTCGGCTGGGACAGCCGGGGGGTCGCCCGCGCGATGTGTTCGGAGATCACCTTGTCGAAGGGCACAGATGAGGGGATATCTGTGCTCGGATAACTGGCCGCCTCGCTAGAGTCTGACGCAGACGAAGGGGTTGAAGGAAGCCGGAGCAGGTAGTCAAAGGAGGCCGCAGGCTCAACCGGAGCCATTGGCTCGAAGGTCATGAACATTGTGCTCGAGGGCATCGAGTGGCTTGCGGAGGGGGGCGGTAGAACCGAGGGACTGGGCAGCGCTTGATTCAGAAGAAGCGGATCCGAGTGCATCCCGACGATCTTGAGTCCAATGTTGCAGCTGACGCCCGAGGGGCAGGCCAGGTTCGAGAATGTCATTGGTGCGGGTGCAGCCATAATTGGCGTAGGAATATGCTGGCTTGGGTCGAACGACGCGTAGCTATCGGCGTACAAGGACGCAATCGGAGCCCAGTCCTGCTCGGCCTTGAGATCATGATCCAGGAGCGCAGACGCTTCAACATCGGTGTGCCCCTTGGCCGCCCGGGGCGTTGCAAACTCGATGAAGGTGGGCATGACGGGCGTAAGAAGCTCGGCGCAACTCGACGTGGGGCTCGACATCTGCGAGGACTGCGATGCAGACGATGACGAGCAGGCGGAGCCGGCTGATGCCGAACGTCCCCTGGCTTGAACGTCGTCATGCGAGGAAGCACTGCTGAGGTCGAGATGAGCGGGAAGGGCGAGATGCCGGGTAGAGCCAAAGCCAGGGTTGGGACCAAAGCCAGGGTCGGTGCTCAACGCCGACGCCGAGCCCATTGCACGTGCCAAACGAGCTTTTTCGCGGAAGCGTCGCTGGGCCAGCTTGTTCTGTGCGCGGCGTCGCTCCAGCAACTGCTGCGAGGTGAGCCCGGCGGTGGAACTTGAACGCATTGTCAAGGCACTTCAAAGGTCCAGGTACAAGCTGAAGGCCACGGCAGCGCGTTGGCAGAGTCGACAAGATGATTTACGCGATGAGAGACTTTTGCTCAGCGCCCTCGAGATCCAATATCGTCTCAGAGCAGAGTGTACGGTGGATGTGAATCCTGTGGTGACTTGGGGAAGGACAGTAGAGAGGGAGTGGACTCAGGAGCGGGAGAGAGGTGCAGGAAATGCGGGGCCGTCGGGAGCGGGGGGTCAAGCGGTTCAAGACCAGCTCATTTATGTGGATTCTTCGACAGGACGGAACGGAAACGGCGCAGCGGATCGTTCTGCCCCAGAATGCGGGAAAGCCGGAAGAGCATGGAAGCGGAGAGCGAGTGCCTTGGCAGAATAGAGGGGAATTGTTCTCAACCAGGCGCTTCGACGGAGGACAGCTTAATGGGCAATACAATGCAGCCGGAAACGCCGACGATGGGACGGGAAATCGCACCGAGGAGAGGGAGGATACGGCAGAGCAACGGGTGATGCAAATGTCCGAACAGCCGCTGCAGCATGAGCAGCGGCAGCATACATCTTACAATTGCGCGCCGGCCATTGCGGCGTGGCCAACGACGGCTCTACTGCCGACAAAGTTGTCGGTTCGAAGGCTAGGTCCACGGCTGTTGCACAGCTCAAGTATCAAGAAGGCGCTCCTCTGCAACAGCGGCACGACAGAAGCCGGGTGTACGCATGTCGGAGCACGCGGCTCTGGCGAGGATGGTTCTGCGGGTACCCATCCGCCGCTGGGGTTCCATGACGAGTTGAGCGCATGGATACGGATTAGGCGTCGAAGTGCCTCGCGGCGAATTCTCGCTTGAGCGAGCGAGAGGGTCGTGCTGTTCGGCACCAGCTTCTCGAGGGAACACGGCCATCCAAGCGAGACAGAAAGCGACACGCAGGCCGACGTTAGGTGACCTAATGCCTCAGAGCTCGTGTGGAGGAGACTCGGACTCTACATTCCGTATTTTGCTGGGGCGCGGCGGCGGATGACGACAAGACCGGCAGCGATGCTCTGAGCTAGCCGCCGCGTGGTGAGACGGGAATGCGCGAGAGCTTCACCAATGTGAAATGGTCTCGGCCGCGCTCGCCGATCTACGTTGGGAACTCGAACTGCACCGTCGAGGCAGCGGGCTTCTGTACCACAAACCACGAGGCTGGGCGTCCGGCGAACAAAACTTGAATGCAATCATAGTGCAGGCCCTCGTGGCGAAGCCACTTGGCCGCTTGGGGTCCTCGCTTGCCATTGTCCTTTTTTTGCCGAACGACGACCGCGCCGGAAGCACTTCCGTATCTCCGACAAGGCAATCCCCGCGGTTGTACCTTCCATTGGGACACCTGTAGCATCCTGTGAAGTAGCCTTACCGCACAGCCGCCGCCTATTTCCCGCAGGGTTTTGCGTCGCCGATGAAGGCGTCTGTGGCTTGACATGAGCTGCGACCTTGGGTTTGTCTGACTTTGAAATTTGGTTCGAAAGACGGCGCCAGGGACTGAACCCTCGGCGCCTTCGCCTTTACTCGGCCCTCTCGGCATCTTCCTCTGCGTCGCGATGGATGTTATGCATCTGCCGGCCTTCTTCGCCGCCCTCGATCATCCAGCAGGCCGCGGCACAATGCAGAGCTTATACTGTGATATCGGCAATGCCATACGGCTTAGTAGGGTCAGCCGCACAGCCTTATCCCGCCGACTTGCTAACAGACCCAAATCGGCTTGATGAGCGGAGAGAATGACGCTCGCATCGCGGGAGGCTGGGTCAGTCGCATAGAGAGAGCCACTTTTAAATAGTTCGGGACGAGGAATCATGCCAGCCAGAGCACACGCGTGCGTCCGCCGCACCTCGTTGCTGCTCGCTCTCGAAACCACAAGCCGCCGCGGACAATCGTGGTGTGGCTGCCTCCGCAGCAGCTGGAGAGCGGTACAATGTGCGACGGTACAATGTGTAAAGGTCGGAACAGGCATGAGCGTACCCAGAGTAGTGCCGCGCTTGCAGTTTGTCATGGCGTCCTCTGCTTGCAAGCGGGAAAACAGGATGGGATCATGACGTCGACCTTGAAGATCGGCGTTAAAGTCCCGCATGGGATCTTCCTTGGATCCCGTTCGCAGTTCCCGTCGGCGATTTGGACCAGTTGCAACTCCGCTCGGATCCACTGGTTGTTTTCCCAAACAAATGGCGCGGCAACCTCTTCTGTTCCATTCCATCGCAGACAGTAGGGCAGCCTTTAGATGGGGGGCTGCCATAGGTTGTCGCGGCGCTGTGCCAGTTGTCAAGCGCCCCACAAGCGCCGCCGAATCCCATCATACCTTCTTGCAAAGGAACGTCCAATTTGGCTGGCTGTGCAGGCCGTAGCTGCAGGCCCATCCCGACACCGCATCCGAAAATCTGGTTCGGCTAGCCAGCGAGGCTGGTTGCGACAGGGGGACTGAGCAGCATCGGGCAGGCAGACGGAACCTTTGCACAACCGACATGGATCGTACGGACCTGGCCAAGACAAGAAAACCTCGTCCGGAAGCGCTGTGCCGAGGACACCTGACCTCGTCTAGCGTGCCTCTCTCGAGTCGGCAGGGCTCGGAGACAGCGGCAAGGGAAGCTTCGCCGCCAATCAGAGTGAAGCATCCTCGCGCCACGAGGCTTGAACCGAACCTTTTACCGCATTGCCACATGGCTTTATCCCCATACGTCCTCGGCGACGGCTGGGCTGCCGCACCTTTCGTCTATGATGTGCCTAGTGCTGCCAGAGCTGCTCGAAGTCCTCACCTTTACGTTCCGTCGGCATGCGTCAGAAATTCTCCCGGGCCTACATTCTCGTATGGAGTCACGCCGCGATGGTAAAACGATGACAAAGCTCGTCCTTCTCAAGCCACAGCAAACACCCCCGGTGACGGTCCTCCGAGGTTGAGGCAGGTTGCTGTTTCGCGAAGATTGCTTTCGATTACTGTAGAAGGCAGCCCAGCTGGTCGCCTCGTTCGATGATCAGGTCGTAATGAGAGGGCATGTCACATCAGAGCACGTTTGGACACGGCGGGAAAACGGCCAAGGCTACCAAACGTGGCTAGCGACCGCAGCCACGTTGTGGTTGGCCAATCACCACGATGCAACCATTATCCATTGTCGAAATGAAGATGGACAAGGCTCTTCGATGAAGACTCTCTGGCGTCTCCTTCGGCGAACATGCGGCGTCTCGGGGATTAGACTCTGCCTTGTTGCATAGATGCAACCGGATATGTCAAGCCCAAAGCCGGGAGCGTCTTGTGCAACTCTCTGCTGCTGGGTACAGTATCCGGCGGCGAATGGACTCGGATTCCTGGACGGCAAGGAGAATTCTGTCCGCGACCATCGGCGAATGGTACTTTCTTGTCTCAAGAACGCATGGAAACGAGAAGGCAGGGCGTATAGGATGGCGACAAGGCACTTCCGGGCCGCGTTGGCCGCAAAGCACGATGACGTGCCCAACAGCCGAGGTCCATGGAGGCGTTCGTCGAGGCTTCCACAGCGATGCGCCAAATCTAACATCTTCAAGATTCGGCAGTCGGAAGTCGGATCGCGGCCAGGGTTCGCAAGTTTTCGCGCGGACGAGGATTGCTTTCGGACAAGGTTTGGAACGATCTTCCAATCTTCTCGCACACCCCACGCTTGACAGCTTCCGCCTCGACGCGCACCATAAATAGCACCGAGCACCAGGACAGAGCTCATAGTGCTCGAGTGCAGCCATGACGATGGTGCCAAGAGCAAAGCGTACAATCTTCGCGCACTTGGTTGCGCTTCGGAATGCTACGCGGCAGAACGCATCCTGCCTCCATCTCGCGAACGATACAAGGCAATCAACAGCACGGCCCCTTGCTACTCAAGCATCCGCAAGAACTGGGAGGAACTACGACAGGAGAAGCGGCAGCAAATTTCATGATGATGAGGGCTCGCATCAGGCTCCCCAAACTTCCATCTATCCCGCCTCCAGGGCGGCGCAACGTCCGCGGCCGAATGCGCCGCAGCTGTTTCAGCACTCTGCACGGCGCGGCCTCGGACAAGACGACGACAAAGCCAAGCAGTCGCAGAGACGCACGACGAGCGACTCCTACATCCTTCGCAATGTCTCCACCGACCCCGAGCTCAAGCATCTCTACACTCAGCTTGCCAAAGCGGCGGAGAGCAAGGACGCACTGCATGCTGCCAAGCTAGCTCTTCTCATCAAGCGAAGGAAGGAGGAGCTGTGCGCTCCGTCAGGACAAATAGAATTCGATCCGAGCGAAAGGATCGTCTTCCTCGCCATCATGCGCGCACTTGCGCCTCACGGTCTTCTCCAGGAAGTGCAGGCGGTCAGTGACGACATGCGCTCGTTCGGCTTCTCAGATTGCATCGACTCGCTCAATCATTTGCTCGAAGCTGCCGTCATCTCGGCCAGAAAGGAGGCCATAGATGACATCCTCGACCGCATCCGCAACTTGCCACCTCCCGACTCCGCTCCGCAGGCTGAGAGATCATCGAAGCTCGCCAACCTCCTCTTCAACGCCAAGCCAGACGTGTCCAGGCCAGGCCAGACTGTCGCGATGGAGATGCCACTCGACTACATGCAGAATTGGAACGCCACGACGTTTGCGCATCTGCTCGAAAGCGCCTGCCAGGATCACAATCTCGAGATGGCATCCCTCATGCTCTCCAGCTGCTATCGTCTGGGCTTCACCCTGCCCCACCAGGCACTCACTCACACCATCACCCTCTTTCTCCATTCCGAAGAGCCTCGCGCCGCCGTCGAGCTCGCGGATCTCATGGAGCAAGGCGGTCTTGTCCATCGCCATGATGCCACCATGTCGGCCGAAAAGTCGACGTCGAGAACGGCCAATCCCCCAGGCTCGGGCACCAGCCCAGGTCAAGTCGCACGTCGATTTCCGCCCAGCATCTGGATGTCGATCCTGCGCGCTTGCGCCGAAGGAGGATACCTACCCGGTGTGGAGCTCGCATGGTCCAAGGCGGTCGTGCAAGGCTTGCAAACACCGGACGACGGTCTCCTTCAGCTCATCCTTGCCCTCTCGGCAAAGGAAGGATGCGTTCAGATGGCCCAAATTTGCCTCGCACACATCGATCCCTCCTACGCTCAACCCTCATCGAGCTCCACCGAGGCTTCGTCATCGCAAAGGCCGTCAAGTGGTCTGGACTTGCAGGAATGGCATCTGGCGCCACTCTTCGAAGCTCAGTGTAGCGCGCGCGACTATGAAGGCGCCATGAACACGCTTTCCGGCCTGTTCCGTCGCGGCTTCGCCATCACTAACCGCTCCACCTCGAGGATCAGCACCTCCATCTTCCCCGACAAATCGGCTCTGCAGCTCGCCGTGCAGGCGTTGACCAAAACGGCCGGAGACGAGGCGATCGGCACCCACATCGACATTGTCAACGCCGTCATCAGTGCAGCCGTGTGGCTTGGCGACCTCGCCCAGGCGCTCGAGATCTACCGTGCGCTCCCCTCGTACCAAGTCATTCCCCGTGATCCTGCGAATGTCAAGGGACATCGATCTCCCAACAAGATCACCCCAACCAAGGACACGTTCAACGTACTGCTCAGTGGATGCATCGACGTTGCCGATTACGAGACGGGCGTCACCATGCTCAAGGATCTCAACGCACTCAAGCTCAAGCCGAACGAGGTCACGTTTGAGCGCATGATCATGCTGTGCTTGACGCAAAAGAACTACGACGATGCTTTCGGCTTTATCGAGGAGGCCAAGGAGAGAGACATTGTTCCAAGCCGCAAGAGCTACGAAGCCTTGGCACGCAAGTGTTTCGCACAAGACGACCATCGCTGGGAGCTCGTGCTGTCCAACATGTCCGAACAGGGCTACCGACCCAGTCTCGCCCTTTTGCGCGAGTTTGACCTCGATCCCGATGCCTTCCGCCCCAGATCTCGCAACCGGTTCGCTGGCAGATCTCATCAGGACTGATACGCACGTCGAATCGGCCTCTACCTCGTCTCACGTTGCTCTGGCCCTATGCCCACGCTCTCACACGACGCGTTCACAGATGCGGTGAAGATTACATTGCGACGAGCCGGCACGTCGAAGGAGCATGATGTACGAGAGAGAGAGTGAGTGTGTCGTGTGATTGAGCAAATGCTTTTTTCAAGGTCAGGATCGGTGATTCTGGACCTGGGAGTCTGCGTCCGAGCGCCATCAAGCACGTCCGCTGGACGAGGCGACGTTCTCGATGAGCTCCTTGGCATGCAGCACGGCATCCTTGGAGCCACGGATGATGCACAGTCCGCCCGAGTCGCGCGGAATCTCGATGGCGGCGCCCGACTCCTTTTGGATGTTCATCAGACCGCTTCCTCCGCGGCCGATGATACGAGGCACTGCCGAGGGCGTCACCCAGAGCTTGCCCTGATGCGAGGCGTCGCCCGCCTCCTTGATCGAGGTCTGGATGCGCTTCTCTGCCTTCTGCAGAGCAGCTTCATCCTTGCCGGTCAGGGTCCAGGACACCGAGTCGCTTGCCGAGGCCGAGCTGAGCTCCTCGAGCTCGAACTCGTTCTCCGCGCCATCCTCGTCGTCGTCGATGCGCGCGCTGGCAGCCGCCTTGGCGCCATTCTTGGCAGAGGGTGCCGAAGTGGAGGCGGAAGCCGAGCCCTTGGGCGTGTCTACGGAGACGCCAAAGTCGGAGCGCAGCTGGCGGAAGAACTGCGGCGTAGCGATGCGGGGGTGGACGCCTCGCGGAACGTCGATCGACTTGGAAGCCGAGGCAAAGCTCGACTTGATCTCCTCGGCCAGAGCCTGGCATCTGTCCTCGGCTCCGACGATCTTGACGATGGTGGCATCATCGCCGCCGGTGAGCTCGGCCTTGTTGACGGGCTCGCCAGTGGACGCGTACTCCTTCCAGCCGGGGAAGACGAGGCGGACAGAGTACTGGGTCTGAAGCTCGGACTGCCTCGAGCCGCCGCGGCCGATGAGCATCCTCTGTGCCTGAGGCGCCACGACGACGCCGTAGACGACGCGCGAGGCAAGCTCATCGGAGGCGCTCTTGAGTTCGTCGCGGATGGCCTTGGCCAATGCGGCAGGACCACGAATGGTGACGGTGGACGTGTCCTTGTCGTTCTTTCGCGGGAACTGCACGTACTGGGACGAGGCCTTGGCATCCTCGGGTCCACCAGCCTTGATGATGAGGTCGCGGATGTTGGATCCCTGAGGTCCGATGAGGATGCCGTGGTGCTCGGGTGCAATGGTGAGCGTGTAGACCTCTTCGGCATCGACCTCGGAGGCGATGGCCTCGATGGCCTTGCGTGCGGCTGCCAGAGCCTTCTTGGTGCCGCGAATCTTGATCTGCGTGGTTCCGTCCTTCTCGTTGTCCTGGCGGTCGACGTCGACCTGCGCCTCGCTCTCGTCACGGATCTGCTTGATGGTAGCGCCACCCTTGCCCATGATGCGGGCGACGGACTTGGTGGAGACGTTGAGGATGGAGACGTTGTTGTTCTCCTTTTCGTACTCGAGCAGCTCGAGCAGTTCGGCCTTGGCGCCCTCGACACCCTTTCTGCCGCCCTTGATGATGACCTCGTCGGGCTTCTGGCTGGCACGTGCGCCAGCGGCCTTGTCGTCGGCATTGTCGGTGGGGGTGGACTGGCCGCTGGGCTGGGCGTTGGCGTTGGGGAAGTTGATGCGGACGGCATAGGTGTCCTGGAGACGGGTGACGTACTTGCCGCCCTGGCCGATGAAGCTGCCGTGCATCTCCTGAGGGATCTTGAGGGTGACGCTGGTCTCGTCGGCGAGCCTCTCGACCTGGGTCTGCAGACGCCTCTTGGCCTCCTCGACGTTCTCCTTGCGGCCGGTGAGGACGACCTTTTTGGTGGCAGCGGCCTTCTTGCCCTTCTTGAGAGCGTCCGGAGCGTCGGTGCCAGCAGGCTCGTCAAAGTCGATGCGGACGCCGAGCTCCTCGCGGAGCTTGGTGATGGCGGAGCCGCCGCGACCGACGAGGTGAGGCACGTGGTTGGCGTCGACCGAGAACTGGGCGACGTGGCCGTTGACGATGCTGTCCTGCTCGGCCTCGGCGGCGATGCGGTTGAGCTCCTTGACGACGCGCTCGACCTCGGAGCTGGGTCCGCGGACGAGGATCGAGTCCTCGGAGAGGCTCGAGCCAGGCTTGTCAGCGGAGGCGGCTGCCTTGCTGGAGCCGATACGGACGGCGACGAGCCTCTCTTCGCCGATGACGGCGTTGAGAGTGGTGCCGTTGGGGCCGAGGATGGCTCGGTGCAGCTTGGCAGGCACGGCGAGGGTCTCGCTGCGGATGTCGGCGGCGGCGACCTGGGCCTTTTGGATGTCGTCCTTGACCGAGGCGAGGATGTCGCGGGCCTTTGCATCGCGAGCCTTTCGGTCTGCCGGCAAGGCGGCGACGGCGGAGGAGCCGCCGAGGACGAGGAGGACGTCGGAGCGCGAGTCGCCGTCGGCGCTGGCCGAGGCGGGAGGGAAGAGGACGTCGACGCCTCGGGCCTCGTACTGCTTGAGACCGTGTCCCTTTTTGCCGATGATGAAGCGGTGGAGGAGCGGGTCGACGTCGATCTGCTCGACAAAGGCGGGCGGGACGGCCTTGACGAGTTCGGAGACGGACTCGCGGAGCTTGGAGACCTCTGCGGGGTCGGAGCCGACGATCTCGATCTGGACGTTGCCGGTGGACTCGACGATGGCGGGACGCGGAAGGTAGATCTGGGCGGTGGGGCTGCGAGGGATCTTGGCGCCGACGTTGAGCCATCGGAGGAGGTGCTTGGCGTGGCTGACGGGGTCCTGGGTGAGCTGACGGTGGGCGGCGACGACGTCGACGACTTCGACGCGGACGGCGTTGGCCTTCTCCATGGCGGCGGTGAGGGCCATGGGGAGCTGGTTCTGGGGGCCGCGGATGGTGACGCTGTCGGAGGGGTCGTCGATGGCGGCGAGTTCGACGCTGCAAGAGGTTGCGGCGAGGATGTCGTTTGCGGCGTCGCCGACGAGGAAGCGATGCTGACGTTTGGGGATGCTGATGGCGAGGGTGCGGAAGGAGCTCTTCATGGCGTCGACCTGAGCGTCGATGGCGGCGACGGTGGCGTTCACCTTTTCGCGGTCGCCCGAGACGATGATGGCGAGGTCGCGTTCGCGCTTGGGCTCTGCGGCGGCATCGTCGTCTTGGGCGTCCTTTGCGTGGAGGAAGGCGGCACGGGGAGGGACGCGGACGGAGATGTCGGTGTTGCCTGCGTTGCTCTCGAGCTTTGCGACGTTGGCGCCCTTGGGGCCAGCGATGAAGGGGTAGAAGACAGGGTCGATGTGGGTGAGGCGCTGGGTAATCTTGGAGGTGCGTTCTGCGACGATGGCTTGGATCATGGCTTGGGCCTGCTTGACGTTGATCTCGTCGCCCTCGAGGGAGACGGCGATCTGCTCGTCGTTTTCGTAGTCGATGTTGTTGTTGGTGGTGGTGGTGGTGGTGGCGGCGGCATCGTTGTCTGCGCTGGGGTCGCGAGGCGGGATGGTGACCTTGACGCCAGTGTTGTCGGTGATGGCCTTGAGGTTCTTTCCCTTGGTGCCGATGACAAAGGCGCGGAGGGAGGCGGGGATCATGATGTGGGTAGAGACGTGCTTTGCGAGGAGGACGGTGATCTCGCGCTTTGCGCTCTTGATGGCGGCTTCGTCGGCGGCCTTGAGGACGAAGGTGGTGGTGCCGGTCTTGCGGGTGGTGGAGGCCTCGATCTTGACGCCGCGGTACTTGTTCTGCACCTTGGACATGACGGTGGAGAGTTTGGTGACGGAATCGTGCGAGAGCGAGAGCGAGAAGGACTGCTGGGCGATGGCGCGCTGGATGACGGGGGCGGAGCCGGCCCAGGTGGAGACGGGAGCGGCGCCCTTTGCGCCCCACTGACCCTTGGCCGGGTTGGCGGCAGCGCCAAGCGAAGGGAAGGCTGACTCGGAGGCGAGGTCGGGCTGCTTGGAGCGAGAGGGGGCGCGGCCGCCGCCGTTGGAGTGGGCGCCATTGGTGGCGGCGTCCGGAGCGGAAGCAGCGGCAGCAGGCTGCTGAGCCTGCTGGGGCGGGAAGGGGTCGTTTACGAGCGACGGGAAGGGGTCAGCCATGGGAGGCAGCTCAGCGGCAGCGTTGGCCTGGGCGAGCTGGGCCTGGTGCTGCCTCATGAGATCGGAGGCGGAGACCATGTTGACAAGAGCAAGGATGGGCAGGGGACGGCGACAGCGACGAATGAAACCAAAGACGGCAGAACCGGGTGGACCCTAACGCAAGAGCGATCGAGCGAGCGAGCGATACACCTGGCAAGTGTGTTGAGGCCGAGGAGGAGTGGGGAGAGTGGAAGATGAGCTTTGCCGGCCTGGAGTAGGGAGCTGCGAGTGTCGAGTATGGGCGGTTGGTGAGCGCGAGTGCTGGGCAAGCAGGTGGGAAATGGTGACGACTTACCAAGTCGATCGGTCCTGACGAGGATGAGGACGAGGATGAGGATGGGGATGAGGAAGAGATGGTTGGAGAGGGCGGGGTCAAACGTTGAGCGGCGGCGCCGAGGCGTGAGGGTGTGTGGCCGTGCCAAGGCGGCGGTGGGGCGCGCCGGTGCGTGCGGTTGGGCCGAGACCAACAACTCTCTCTCTCTGGCTTTCGGCAGCGGATTGGCCGACCACCGCCCCGCCCCGCCCTGCCCCGCTCTCTCTGTCTCTCTCCCTCTCTCCCTCCCTCTTCTTTCCTTTTCTTCCAGCTCATCATGCGGCTCGATCAATTTGGGGCGCGGTCCTTGTCGAATGTTAGAGCAACGAGCTCCGCAAAAGCGGCTCGAGCGCGTTCGGCCAGGCCGGCCGACTCTGGCTGACTGGACCCTGACGTTGCCGTCCAGATTCGAAAAGCTCGCCCAATCCACAGCGTCCTCGTACGCAGCCGCTCATACGCTCATCCGCTCGTCATCATGGACCGTGTCAATTGCAAAAGTGAAAATGTATAGATGCAGATGCTTGTGTATGCAGAGGCCATCCTCGCTCCGACAGTGTTTGGGCCTACGGCAGCACGGCCCGCCGTGATCGCGGCTTCTTGCGCTGCAGCTCCGCTTCCTCTCTCGCGTCGGGCCCACTCGCCCGATTGCGCGACACCGATCGGCTCCGCTTGGATCCCGCACCCGCCGCACTGAGAAAGCCTGCAGTGGCATTGCCCTCCGCAGATGCTCCCACGCCCATCGCCAGCGTCGGATCCGCATAGCCCGCGCGCACCTCGAGCGGCGACGAAGGTCGGCTCGTCGACAGGAACGACGGCCGTCGACGGACACTTCGTCGATCGCCTCGACGTGTGCCGTGATGATGGTGATGATGACTCTCGTGCCGATGGTGGTGATGATGGTGGTGGTGGTGGTGATGGCTTTGCGCGCCGCCGTGCACATCCGGCAACGCCGTATCCGGGATCGCCAGCCCAAACAGCACCGCAGGCACCAGCGTCACCGTCGCCACAATGCTCAGCATCCGCATCACCTCCACCCACGACTGGATGATGCCATCGCGCTCCGCCGTCCCCAGCGGATAGCTCAGCGCCTTTTGCAGACTGCCGTACACCAGCTTCAGCTCCTCCGCGTCCATGCCCGGCAGATTCGTTGCAAGCTTGGCCGGCAAGTACGTCTGGAACAGCCATCCCGCCGTCGCAGATCCGATCGCCGCCCCGATCTCGGTCGTCAGCAGCTCCAGCGCAGTCACAATCGCAACATCCGCATGCCGCACCGTCACCTGCACCGCCACCTGCATCGTAATCGCGATCGATCCACCCCCGATCCCCTGCAGCAGCTGGCACAGCACCAGCATGTACGTCGGATCCTCCGCCGTCCGATACCGCACCATCAGCGTCACGCCCAACAGCCGCACCACCAGCCCGATCACCAGCAGCACCTTGTACCGCCTCGTCATCGCCATCAACGATCCCACCACAATCCCCGTGATCGTCGACGTCACGTTCTGCGTCGTGGCAAAGTAGCCCGTCCGCGTCTGGTCCCATCCCTTGAGGATCTGCACAAAGCTCGACAGAAACGTCCAGGAAATGTAGAACGACGCAAAATCCAGCACCCCGACCACGCACGTGCACACCACCGCACTGTTGGTCAAGAACTGGTACGGCAGGATCGGCACCGACGCCCGGGTCTCCCACCAGCCAAACACCACCAGCAGCCCCACGCCACCCGCGATGAACGTCGCCATCGGCACCTCTGCCTGCCGCTCGCCATGCCCAGCCAGCGTCAACGGCAGCAGAATCAGCAGCCAGCCACCCGTGAAAAGCAGCAGCCCTACCACATCCAGCTCCGTCGCCAGCTGCCGCAGCGCAGACCGCCATGGCTTGTCCCTCAGCCAGCTTCGCGTCGCCAGCCCCGCCCGCTGCGCCCGTCGCTGGCCCACCAGCAGCGTCAACAACAGCGGCGTCGCTGCCAGCGGCATCACCACCGTCCAGATCGCAAATCCGAACCGCCAGCCGCCGTGACGCATGACCAGATCCACCATCGGCCCCGCCACCGCAAAGTTGATCAGGAACGGCAGATTGACAATGCCAATCACCAGCCCACGCCACTTGGCCGTCGTCGTGTCCGCAATGATGATCGACTGCAGCACCTGGATGCCCGTCGTGCCCGCAGACTGCAGGCAGATGCCGCCGATGAGCGATCGCAGCGAGCTCGTCGACGCAACAACCAGGTAGCCGCACACGTAGAAACAGAGCGAAAGCACGTACGCCTGCGGACGACCCACCACATCCGACAGCTTGGCAATCGGCGGCTTGGCGATCGCAAACACCATCTGCTGCACAATCGCTACCGTGCTGAACGACGCAAGCGCACCGTACTCGCTGCATGCAAAGTTGAGGTAGAGGTAGCCCGTGTTGGAGTCGAGCGACGACACGTACGCAACGCAAAAGATGGCCGAGTACACGAGTAGGTACAGTCCTCTCCGCTTGCGCCACAGCGCGCGCGCATCGTCCGCGTCTTGCTCGCGCTCCAGCCGCCCGTTTTTCAGCAGCCGCTGGTCCTCGGGCACTTCGTTGACATCCGACCCGTCGTCGGAAAAGGCGTCGAGGCTCGGTCGCTTGTCGTCCGCCTTGAGCAGCTGCGAGCGTGCCGTCCATGCCGCATCGCTCCAAGACACACGCGGACGCTCCATTTCAGCCAGGTGCAGGGGCTGTTTTCCAACGTTCACAGCGTCTTCCATCGCCGAGTCGGCAGTGTGGTCGCTGGGCAAGCCATCAGGATGATAGGGTGGCGCAGCATTCGCACGCGACTTTGAGCGACCGCCGCGTTCAGCACGCTCTGCGTCGTTACCGTCCAAAGCCGGCGCCTCCGCTTCCGAGCTCGACGTGCCTTGACCGTAGTCGCGAATGGTATCTCGATGCCTTGTCGACGTGCTGGATTCTTCTGGGATGGCATAGGCCTCGACTTTGGCCGATGCAACAGCGGTATCGGCCTTGTTCATCTGCAGATTCGGGTCCGTTGAAGTTTGTGCTGTTCCACTTTCTTCCTGAGACGGTGCGTGGGAATGATCCGGCGATCTGATCGGAGGTGCTGCAGAGCCCGAGCTATTGCTTGCCGGTTGACCTGCCACGGAGGCTGGCAGGCTCAGATAGAAGGTCGGCGTGGATGTCTTGCTCGATGAGGGAGGTGCGAGCGGGTGATTGAATGGAGCTCGAGACGGACGGGTGATGTTTCGCGATGGAGTGCTGGAACGCCCTGGGGTCAAGAAGACGTCGTTGGGTGGGAATTGGATGTAGAAGACGCCTGCTCCACACCTGCCACGCGATTCGTAGAGATGGTCCTCGAGCAGCCGCAGGTTGCGCAGATTGGCCTTGAAAAGGACGTCGAGCGCGTCACCGAGTAAGGGCAAGATTCCGATGATGCAGTCGACGACGACGTTGACCAACATCCACAGCAGCAACGACAGCGGCACGCCGAACAGCGAGCAGAGCAGGATCTGATAGAGGCCCAAAGCCAGTCCGATGTAGTCGCCGATGCCTGGGATCACGCCAAGGATGGATTCGATGCCAATGTTGAAGGGCAGTCGAGAGCCGAGGAAGGGTATCGAGTCGAGGTACCAGGCGACGGTGCGGATGTGATTATAGAGCTGTTGCGCCTCGGCATTGTTGCGAGGAGGATGGACGAGCGGCCAGTAGCGCGCTTCGAAGGCGACAGCGTCCGGCGCCTTGCTGGGAACAGACCCACCTGCATTGAAGGCGTAGCATCCAGCAGAGGCAGAAGGTGCTTTTGGCGGAACCACGCCATCGAGCGTTGACCGTGGTCGATCGGCAAGCTGGAGCGGAAATACAAAGGCGGCCAGCTTGTTGACGGCCCAGCCTGTTGTCGCACGGAGCATCGCCGTCGAAGAAAGGGCGCTAGAATGCTCCCGGCTGTCGACACCGCCAGCTGAGCTGCAGTGATAGTGTCAACCGTGTGGATCTGTGCGCTCGTGCTCGCATACGCTTAGCCTCGGCGAGGCGCGTGGCCGTTGATCTGAACGAGCATCCAAAGGGGTCCGTGCTGAGTCGAGCGAGGATGACGGACTGTCCGTGCTGTGTGAAAGCCGCCACAAGTGAGTCGATGGCACGTGTATGGTCCCGGGCTCTTCGAGCTACTGGCTGGCCGGGTGTCGAGGCCAAGGTGCAAAGCGATGCGCTCCAGCAGTTCTTCCGGTGGGAGAGCTGTGCAACGTGAGGGCGAGTCGGGCGAGCGAGACGCGCCGATGCTGCTCCAAACTGCGCCTTGAAAGATGGTTGAGCGTGTTGGTTGATGGCAGAAGGGATGAAGGGAGCAGGCAAGCGGCAACCGAGAAGGCCGACCGAATGTCTGGACGAACCGAGCAACGTGGTCCAAACGCTGCTCCACTCGCTGCACCCGTCGGTGGGCGTTGCCGACCCAAAATCCCAATTCGGGTCGCCAATTTCGTGTGGAGACGTGCACTCTCACACCGCCTGCTTTTTCTGCACGCTTGCAGCGGAGGAGCGCCAAGCGAGCGAGTGAGCTCAGCCGCAAGCTCGAGCCCGAAGCTCGAACCCACCGCTCGCGCTGCGTACGCCCCACTCTTGTTCCATCTCGGATCTTGATCGAGCCGTCCCAGTATCAGTCGGCCCCCGGTACGCTACAAAGAAAGCGATGCGACAATGCTGGTCGGGATGGCGTGTGCAAGCTGCTCACTCGGACGCATTCAAATAGCCACCAAATTGACGGTAAAGTCGGCAAAGACGCAAATCCGAAAGTCCGGCAACACAGAATCCAGCAGGCAAAGGCGAAGCTCGGCAAACCTTCACATCGGAGACTCGCTCATACAATCCATTCCGGTGGTGGGGTGATCACGCTTGCAGTCCTGTCATCGACGTAGGTGCGCAACGGGAATGCTTGCGGTCCGGACATCCGGCGTCTGAAAAAATGCCGAGCTCTGTGCCAGCCGCGAGTTGGCTGTAACGACTGGATCGACTCGATTCGATCAGCACGACGAAGCGCTGATCGTTGCTTCAAGTCCAGCTTACAGCGGAACCGCGCCGCATTGAACGCCTCTCACCTCCCCTCGGCTTCGGCCTGATAGCCCTGCTCACAGTCAGAGGCTGAGCGTGTTGAGTCAGCGCGTTCCGTCGTACTCGCAAACTCGATCCCTGCAGCCTTTCACATCTTCTCCGGCCGCAGCCCTGGGTCGAGCGACTGATCTCCTCCGCGACTTTAAACGGCTGCAAGCTTCCTTGTCCATTCCCGCAAAGTTCCCAGCGCTGCACCGGAAGCGATTGCTTGCATCATCACACGAACCCTAAATTCACGCTTCACGATGGACATGGATTCAGGCCTCTCGCATTGTATACACCGCACGCGACTCCGTCTCCTCATGCTCTGTATACGGTACTGCTGGACAGTAGCTTGTTTCGATCAGGGCGGACCTCGCGACAGGCCTACGAACTTGGCCATGATGGAGGCAGGAATAGGCACCCCAGCCAATCGGAGAAGCTTGTTGTTGAAGCCGACGATCTCAGCTGCGCTGTTCTTCTCATAGGCGTCCACGGCGGCTTTCGCGACTTCGGCCGTCTGATGAATGCCGACATAGTCGAGAAGGCCTCGCGTTTCTCCGCCACCTTGACCGTTGAGATTCGTCTTGGTGATGCCAGGAACGATGCAGGCGATGCGAACGCCAGTACCAAGATGCTCCTGTCGGACGGCCTGCGACCAAGAAAGAACGAAAGCTTTGCAGGCTGCATACGTGGCAGTCCACGGCACCGGTTGGAATCCAGCGGTGGATCCGAGATTCAGCAGGCCACCGTGACCGCGCTGTACCATACCCGGAAGGAAGCGAAGCGACAGATCGACCACCACGCGCACCATCACATCGACGCACGCCACAGCGTTGTCCTGAGACGGATCGGATGCGAAGGTGTTCTTAGGGTTAGGGTTAGGGTTAGGGTTAGGGTTAGGGTTAGGGTTAGGGTTAGGGTTAGGGTTAGGGTTAGGGTTAGGGTTAGGGTTAGGGTTA